CATGTGGTGGGTAAAGCAGCTGACAGTAACCCCAGCTGTTGCTCTAGGCTCCAGCACTCACTGCCTATGCAGACAGCATCTGGTAGGATTTTCCCAGCAGCCCACTGGAGCTGGATGCCATTTGTCCTCTTTGTGCAGATGAGCAATCAAGGCAAAGAGAGCTTAACTAACTTACCTAGGGTTGCAGGCCAAGTAGACAAGGTAAAATTCAGACTTAGGCCTTTAGACTTAGGGCCTGCATCCTTGAACCTCTTTAGCCAAGAATAGTAGTAACATGGCATATGTGCTTTGCTCAACCTATAATCCTTTCTCATCTCAACCCAGTCAAAATTTCTCTTCCCTGGCCTTTGGCATCTAGATGTGCTCAGAGACAGCCATTGGACTTGGGTCCCAAAGCCTGTTCCAGAGAGAAATGGATGCTATGCAGCCTCTAAGATGGTCTGCGTCAGCAAATGAGGCCCATTGATTTCCTCATCATAGTGGCATGTTTGTTGGCAGTGGTGAGATCAATAAAGGAATGGAATGAAACATACCCTTGAATCCAGGTGACCTGTGTGAGAGTGGACAAAATGACCTTCACCTCAGAGAAGTCGGGGACATCTCAGGACAGAAAGCCAGTCCTGTCCTTCTAAGAGAAAACTGCCTGTTGACCCCTGTTTCCTGGGACTTGGAGCCAGGGTCCCATGATGACGACGTTCATGGACCCTAGGCATTTTTGTGTTTGGGGGCTTTTTACATGAAAGCATTTTAAAATCAGATTACACACTTGAAATCACATGGTCTTATTAATGCAAGCATATCAATATTGTATATTAATACCTTTTAGCTTAAAAGTGTGTTTTTAAATTTTAAAATAAATTTAAAAATATTTCCTAGTTCCCAAAACCCTGTACCTGCTGTGTCTGATAGGCAGGTTGGCCCTGCCTGCAGCCTCAGGCCGGGCATAAGCCTCACTTACTGTTCCCTGTGCCCCTCTCTTTCCTCGGGTACATTTCCAGAGTTGGCAGAGGGTCTTCTGAGCGTTAAATGTTGAGGTAACCTTGAGACCTCAGGATGCTTCTTTGGCTGTGGTACAAGTACCCAGGAGGGCTTAGGGAAGTGGGGACATAGGCTGAGTGCTCTGCCATGCCCAGGGTGGACCCCTGCACCTCACCCCAAGGAGCCATGGATCAGTGTAGCTGGGGATGGAGAGTACTGGAGGAGCTTAGCCATTGCAGGAGAATATAGTAGAGCTAGAGCAGCTTTTTGTGGAGTCTAGAACCACTTAGGCTACGTGTCTGGAAGTGCCAAGCCTTTGGATTACCACTGACTCCAGAACAGGTTCTCCAGCTAGGCTTGGTTTTTGCTTCCCACGCACATTTGGCAGTGAGGACAATTTTAGTTGTCACATTGGGAGGGTGCTACTGGTATTAGGTGGTAGAGGCTAGGGATGCGGGTCAGCGTCCTGTAATGCACAGGACAGCCCCTTGTGACAAAGCATTGTCTGGTCCAACCATTGGTTGTGCTGTGCTTGAGAAACCTTGACCCTAGAGCACGTTTCAGGCACTGGGTTTGGGAGCCTTCCCAGAATCTCCAAGGTGGTACTAACCACCTTTGAACTATCTTTGCTGCTTCCATCAGGGAACATGTAATTATAGCCATTGTAGAGCCTCTCTGTCTTAACCTAAGCCTCGGAATGGGCAGACAGCTTCTTCCCAAAAAAGTTTGGAGTCAGCTTCTGAGAGTCACAGGCTCCTGCCTGCGCTGTGGAAGGTTCCAGAAGTGGGGGTGGTGTGTTGCACCAGCAGATTCCACAGAGCCCTCATCTTTATCATATCAGCAGAACATAGTCTCCAGCCTGGAAGTGGGGTGGAGGTCTCCAGTAATTCCTCCTGCTTCTGTTGGTAGGAAGCCAGCTGGGCAGGGCACTGTGAGAAGCGAAAGGATGATACCAAGAGAGACCTCGAGGGCACCGTGCTTAGGCAGGGACAATTCAAAGTTCCTGTTTTGTCTTTTTTACTTTGGCCCTGGATGGCTGGGAAGGTCCATTCTGGCCGAGGGCTTCACTAATCACCTGTTCTCTTCTCCCGTGGGGGAGAGGCATGGAACTTGCGGCCCAAGTCCAGATGCAGAGAAGCAGGTCTGGAATTGAGGAAGGAGTGGGAACGAGTGAGTGGGGGTGAGTCCCTCCACCCCAGGCCAGCATCTGCATGGTCCTGTTTAGTTTCTAGGTTTAGCCTGACCCCAGACTTTGCTGGGCCTTTCTTTCTCCCTCAGCCATCTGAAGAAGGAAGGGGTGGTGATCTTCATGGTTGGGCCAAGGGGTGACCTTTCATAGATCTGGTGGCACAGAGGAAATCTGTACCATGATGGAGTGATGAATAGGGTCTGCTGACCCAATAGAGGCTGCTGAATAGGGTAACTAAATCTACTGGTGGTCTTTGAATTTCTGCTGTTCCCCACCACAAGGAAAGAAAGGAAGAGCAGAATGGATGAGAAGAGAGAGAGCTGGGTCTGACTGAAAGTTGGTGGCACAGGACCCCTCCCCAGCCAGGATGCAGTCACTGAACCTTTGACTTACTTCCCTGTGGTGTTTCTGAGGCAGCTAGAACAGGATTTAATCTTGAGCTTGATTTATGGGGAAATTCAGGGTACCCAGCAGCCCTGGGGAAATAGCCATTCTAATAGAAGAATTTTCAGGTTTCAGGGGGTTTAGAATGTTTACATTTTCAAGTCTTGCTTTTCTAAATTTTAATAATTTTGGATAGAAATCTTTTTAGTGCTGAATTCTTGATCCTGTCCCCTTTATAATGTCTGAAAGTTATCACCTTCAATATAATTCTTGCTTTGGGGTGTAAAACACAGGGGTCTTGGGTGAATGTGGAATTGTTTGCCATGCACAAAATGTTCCTAGAGTTCTTATGTTCGGTTTTTTATCGTCCTCCTTTTCCCTATTCCTTTGATACTTCTTACTACTGTCCATGTGCATTTTTTCTTCTTTTAGTTTTGTTGATTTTATTTTATTCTCTGGTGACCTTGAACAACAGACATCCAGAAGCCAGGCTTACTGGAGCAAGGGTGACATGTACCCTCAAGGTTCCTCCCTAGTCTTCAGTGGAAAAAGTCGTAGTGACAGCCATTTTGATGCTCAGTGTCTTGTTTTCTTTGCTTCTGGGTTGCTGGTCAGATTCTACATTGCAGAGGGAGCAGATAACAGGGACAGTCATCATCTCTACTGTCATTGTCACCAGGTGATTACCTCCAGCAGCGTGGATAGACTTTCTGTTCCAAGTTATATTTTAACTGCTTTATCTGCAACATTCTTCAGTAGTTGTGTGAAGAAGGAGCTATTACTATGCAACCATTTCTGTTGAAGAAGGCAGGGGCATAGAGAGGCGATTTGCAGGGAAACTCAGGGGCTAGAGAAGTGGCAGAGCTGGGATTTCACATGAGTTTGTGCCCTTCAGCCAGCAGTGATACCCTGGGTGCTGGTGTAGCCAGTGAGAAGCCTAGTTGGAAGGGGAGGGGAAGGGCAGTCTCTGTTGAATCAATGCTACGTATAGAAGAGGTACTCCCACTTTCCCTTAACCAAACAGCACATTGATCACAACTTGGGCCACTATAGCTCTCCTTGTACAGTAAGTGTAGAGCTTTCCACCGAATGACACTGCTCGGGAGAGGGACCCTGGAGCCTACCACCATGTACCTAAGTTCAGAAGGGACCACATGTGCTGGGTGCTTCGCCACAAACCCATGTGTGTAGACAGACTTTAAGAGCCATTCCGTTTTGTGATTGGGACTGCTACATTTTTGAAGGTTCATTAACGTGGAAGAGAAAATGTATGATTTGATGAAAAATATCTGCTTTGCACCTGCCTCAGTTTTGTTGGAATCTGCTATAGTTTGGTGGTCATGGGCAGTGGACTCTGGGGCTTGGTTCACTCTGCAATGCACGTGTCTACAAGTGGCTGGGGCTGGGCTGTTTGACTCTTCACTCTTGTAGAGAATGCTGGGACTCATCTGCTTGGCTACAAGTGGACCATATGACCCATTCCTCTCACCATCCCCAGCTGGACATGTCTGTGGTATCTGGGGGCTCTCTCAAGGTCCTCTGCACCTGGGCTGGGCACACAGTAGGTTTAAGAAGGTCTAAAGGCACTTAATGGATGCTTCTTAGGCAGACATCTCGATAAGGCTTCATGTCCTGGGAGAAGCAGTACTTAGGACTCTCAGTGTAGCGGGGATGGGGTGCAATGCAGAGATACTGTAGACTTGGACACAGAAGAGTCAGTAAGGTATAGTGATTGAGCAGCCCAGGAGCAAAGCACCATGGGAACTTCTTGGCACAGGCAGATTGGCAAATGAAGGTGAAAGAGTGGAGTGCTGCAGACCAGTTGTGGCTGGCAATGCAACACTCTATCTTACCTTCCCTTGCCAGGCATGCCATGGCTCAGTAATCTTTGTGGCACTAAAATAAAACCAAACAAAACCTAATGTACACCTTTTAGACCATAAATAATGAAGAAATTGAATTTGGCCTGAGTGGTAGCTGAATCTGAGAGGTACTGATGGCCTCCAGAAAGGACCTAATTCTACCCCATGTTAAGGGGCTTGCAGGGCCATTGGCCTTTTGTGCTCCTCTGCTCTGCCAAGCCTTAGCGGATCGGGGCAGAGTAGAAGTGTTCCTGTCATTTTCCTGGACTACACAGCCTGGGTTCCGATCATGGACACATCAGTTAGCAGGGTTGTAACTTGGCCTAGTGATTGCCCCTGTGAGCCTCCTTTCCATCTGGAAAAGTTGGGGGAGGGTGCCAGTAGTCCTCACTTAAGAGCTCCCGTGAAATTGAAATGGATAGTCTGCATAAATTGCTGAGTGTGGGTCCTGGCTCGAAGTTGGCATTTAGTAGATGTTTGTCATCTCATTCTCGTCGTTAGTTGTCTCCACCTCCCCCAGCATCAGGAGCCCAAGGGAGCCCGTCTCCCAGGGAACAGGCCCTAGAGCTCTTCTTTCCTTTCTGCAGACAATGGTGATGACCACTCTGAGGGAAGCCTGGGCGAGAATCATGTGGACGGAACCATGAACATGTTGGGAGGTGGAGGCGGTGCTGGCCGGAAGCCCCTCAAGTCAGGCATGAAGGAGCTGGCCGTCTTCCGGGAGAAAGTCACCGAGCAGCACCGGCAGATGGGCAAAGGTGGAAAAAACCACCTCAGCCTGGAAGAGTCCAAGAAGCTGCGGCCACCACCTGCCAGGGTCAGTGGAGTCAGATGTGGTTGTAGGTGGGCATGGAAGGGGATCTCACAATTGGGGTGGGCACCCCACTATAGCCCATGTGCAACCTATTGGTAACACACTTCTGTTCCTAGTGCTACCACCAACATAGTCAGTAATCTTTAGGCCATTCAGGACTGCTGGTTGTGAAATGGACTGGACATAGGGTTTCTTGAAGTCTCTTCCTTCTAAAACTTAAGCATTTCCCTTTGGCTTGAGACATAGGCAAAGGAAATGAGTCCCAGAAAGGAAGAGGAAGCTTGCTCATCCTTGTGGTGGTGTGCTCCCCTCACTGGGCTGTCCTGTCCTCCTTTTGTCTCCTCAGCTGAGCTTTGCTGTCTTGGTTCTTGGCCCTGGTTGGGTTAATGGCAGGGAATGGAGCTTGGGCCATGCCATGTGGACACTCTAGAGACAGCCATTGGATTAGGTATTTGTAGGTAGAGCACATTTTCATCCATTAAGGCCATTGTCACAGATGGAGGAAAGAAGTGAAAAGCCCCATTCATATGATTTTCTTTAAGGGTGGGTTGGGCATGGGGAGGTCACGGGATTGGTTGTCACTGGTCATAGCTACCAGCCATGTGGTAGTCCCCATTGGGAAAGTCCCTTCCCCCAGATGTGCTGCTTTCTGAGGCAGCGTCCAGTGCTAGTGCTTTGTGGACTCATTCTTACTGCAAGTGTCCCCTCCTGCAGACCCCCTGCCAGCAGGAATTGGACCAGGTCTTGGAGCGGATCTCCACTATGCGCCTTCCAGATGATCGAGGTCCCCTGGAGCATCTCTACTCCTTGCACATCCCCAACTGTGACAAGCATGGCCTGTACAACCTCAAACAGGTGAGTGTAGGTACCAACCTGGGCCAGAGCGGCTTCCTCTTTCACCCCAGGTGCTGGCTTGCCAGGCTCCTACCCCACCTGCCTGTAATCCTCTGAGGCTTGAGAGCTGAGTGGAGACCAGGTTTCTGTGACCACGGGGGGTGGCCATGCCAGCTGTGAGGCCAGTGAGGGTGGGGCTTCCCACCCTGGCCTCAGGCAGTTCAGGGTGGAGTCCACGCTTAGCCTCCTGGCAGTGGTGCTTGGTACCCAGTTTGGGAGGGAGGGAGCCTCCAGGATAAGAGCCCTTACATCAGTGACGGCGAAGCTTTCAGAGCTTTCAGGGATACAAACAGTCCACTGTGGCACACGTGCCATAGGTTCATTGCCATTGCCTTCAACCAAGGCATCTCATCACGTACTGAGGACTAGAATCACCTGAAGTCAACTCCTGAGCCCACTCTCAGAGACTGCCATTCAGTGTGGCAGGTGGGGATCAGGAGCTTGCATTTCTAACAAGCTCCATGAACCACATCGTGAGAATCACCAGTTGAAACCATTGGGCAAGCAGCCACTCTGGTTTTGAGATACCTCAGGGAGGTGAGAAATGAGGATGGAGAAACATCATGGAGAGCATTTGTAAAAATGGTACCAGAACATTGTTTCTAATTAAGTGCTCTGGGGAAAGTTAAAGAAGGTTAACCCTCGGAACCCTTTGCCCAGAGTGCTTCCTCTCTGTTCATACGCACTTTAATGATCGGTGTGCAATTGCGGTATTTTCCTTTTAAGATTGTTTTTCTCATAGCCATAAACTTGATTAAGCGTTGATCACTCATGTCTTACGTGCCCTACCCTTCGCTTCCTCCACCTTGTCCTTTACAGAGGGAGAAGCACATGTGCATTTCTCATGGGAGGGAGAGGGAGAGAAGTGTGGTTTCTAGCTGTCATTCCGTTTGCAAGCAGAGGCGCTCAGCCTTGGCTGCACACTGGGACTGTCTGGGAGTTTAACAATATGGACCCAGGGTTTACCCCCAAAGATTTAGATTTTGTAGGTCTGGAGTTGTTTTTGTCAGCAGGATTTTAAAATGCTCCCTAGGAAGCTGGATGTGATGTGGCCTGTAAACTCAGAACACTGGGAAGCTGAGGCAGGAGGATTGCAAGCTCAAGCCCAGTCCGGGTAACTTAGCAAGACTCAGATGAAGTCACTGGCTTACATTTGGAGTGTAGACATACAAACTGTTTAAATGCTGGACTGATGTTCAGAAGGACATCATGGTTGTTATCTAAAATGCCCCTCGAGGCTCGTTGCATTGAAGGCTTGGTTCCTTTCAGAAAGGACTGGGGATATAATCGTTCAATGTAAAATCCCTGGGTCAATCCCCAGTACTGCAAAAATGAATTGGAATGAATGAATAAATGAATGAATGAATGAAGCTCCCTGGGTGATCCCAGTGGCAGTCAGCATTGACCTAAAAACAAAGGATGGGTGTGTGAAGCCAGCAGTTGGGGTATAGGGGATATAGCATTCTGCTAATCCCTGGAGGGTCTCACTCCCCCACCTCCTTCACCTGCAAACATTTTGCCCCTTGTATCAGCTATTTGTCACTGAAGAAACACCTGAGATAATTAGCCTAAAGAAGGGAAGATCTATTTTGTCTTGTGGTTTCAGAAGAATCAGTACATGGTTGGTTTCATTGCTGTGGACCTGCGGTGAGATAAACTATCACGGGAGAAGGGCGTGGTGGTACCAGGAAGCAAAGCAGGAGTGAGGACCAGAAAGAGGACCAGATGTAGTCCCCAGGTCACACCTGCATGATCTGCTTGGATCAACTTGGCTACACCTCCTGTTTCCATCATCTCCCAATAATGCAAACAAACTAATGATCTCATGAGCTCATCAAGAGTCATAATCTAATTCTTTCAAAAAGCCCATTAGCTGGCAACGAAGCCTTCAACCTAGCTTTGCGGGGGACATTTTGGGTGACAACCATAGAGCCCCGTGAACATCAGCGTTAAAACAGTTTGAATGTCTACCCTTCAGGCGTAAGCCAGTGACTTCATTTGGAGCTCGGAAGAAATGGCAGTCTTTTCTAAAGAAAACACAGGCTACCCTCTGTCAACTAAAACAGTTTGCAATAATGGTTAGTTAGCTTATGGAGAACGGCAGGGAATCCTAGACTGGGAATGCCTGGATTTGGATCTCACCTCTGCTTCTTACTAGCTACGTGACTTTGGAGGAGTTATTTAACCAGTCTAGGCTTCCGTTTCATCATCCCTAAAGTGGGGATAATAATGGTACCTAATTTACAAGGAGAGAATTGTTTGAATATGTTTTGTTGAATATAAACTGAGTGGTCGGCGTGTATATTGCTTACACAGTGCCGGCATACACTATATTCTGGCATTTGGTTTTCTCCACACACTGTGGCTAAACTCCAGTATACTACGTGCCCCAGCTGATGGGATCTCCTTGAGGGTAGAACCAGTCTTTGTCTCTGGACGTGTCCAACAGGCGCTATTCCTGCACTGCAGCGTAAGCATCACTTTGGAGCTTGTTAGCTATGAAGTTCAGGTCCACCTTGACCTACTGAATGGGAATCTGCATTTTTAACCAGATTCCCAGTGCACGTTGGAGGTTGAGAAGGGCAGTGCCTGCTCCATGTATGTTGTCAACCCCCCACAGAGAGGAGGACATCGGGTGGCTGTGGGGCATCCTTCAGTTGAGTCTCCTCTTCTTTCTCCTCAGTGCAAGATGTCTCTGAATGGGCAACGTGGGGAGTGCTGGTGTGTGAACCCCAACACCGGGAAGCTGATCCAGGGAGCCCCCACCATCCGGGGGGACCCGGAGTGCCATCTCTTCTACAATGAGCAGCAGGAGGCTGGCGGGGTGCAGGCTCAGCACGTGCAGTAAACCACAGCCAGCCGGTGCCTGGCCCCCGCCCCCTCCAAACGCCAGGAGGAACCCAGAGAGCTGGAGTGGCTGGTGTGGAGGATTTCCTAGGAGTTTCGACACATGTATTTATATTTGGAGAGAGACCAGCACCAAGCTGGGCACCGCCCCTGCCTTCCCCCTCCCCAGCTGGAGATGCCCACACCCCCTGCTTCCTTGCTTCCCTGGGGAAGAAGGGGGTTGCACTGGGGGAGCTGGGTAAAGGTTTGGGGGGGTAAAAGAAATTTTTATTTTTGAACCCCATGTCTCTTTTGCTTAAGATTAAAGGAAGGAAAAATAAAATGTGTGGTCCTGCTCGAGTCTTTGGGGCCCCGTGGGAAAGGGTCTTGCTGAGCCATCTTCTGCCCAGCTTGCCTGGCCAAGTCTTCTGTCGTAAATGGGAACAAGAAAGATGGACGGGAGAAAGGGCCTCCTGCTGCAGCCAGGTCGGTGTCCAGTGTCCCCACTGGCATGCCCAGATGAGGTGTCCCGTCCCCATCAGCCCCTGGCTGGTCCTCACAGGAGCAAGAGGGGTGGTGGTGGGGGAGAGGGAGAGCATAAGGCTGTTGTCCTTGCTGCCACATCCTGATGACACTGCAATGCGAGATAGCCCTGGGGAAACATCAGATAAAGGAAGCCCCTCTTAGAGAGGTTTCACGGCAGCCCCGAAGGCCAGGGCATGGTCTGTTGACTGGCTCTTTCACCACAAGGGTGTCACCCTGAGAATTCTGCAGCTGCTTCCTGAGGGGTCCAAATAGCTGGTACTCAGACCAGCACATGTCAAATGGATACCACGGGCTGTTTAGGCACAAGGGGACACAGACTGATACTGAAGACTGAGTCACAGTATCAGTGCTGTTTCTTAAATGAACTGTATCAGAGCTCTATCACTTTCCCTTACCCCCTCTTGGCGTCTGCAGTCTGAAACCCTGCAGCCACAGTGGCCTCGCCCAGTACCCTTTCCATCTAGCTGGTCTGGAGAGGCTGGGGGGACACTTGGGGCCCTTGGAAGGTAGGAGATGAGCTTACCTGGAGTGCAAAAAACCTGCAGTTGGATGCTTGCCAGGAAGGCTGAATTCAGGCTGCAGCAGGCCATGAAATTCACTACATGTTAGTTCAGTTAATCATGATTCATTAAAAAAAAGTACTTTTATTAGTTTCATCTTACAAGGGAGGAAAATGACCCTAGAGGTGCCCAGATTTCGCTGGCCAGGACTCGGGGTAGAAGCACGCCTGGAAGCTTGGAGAGCCTGGAGCGGGGACGGGAACTGAAAGAACAGCAGCCCCTATGTGGGATGTGGCATCCTTCTGTCCCCTCAGCTTCTATAAAGAGTGGCAGCAGCAGGGGCTGGGCCTAGTGCGCCCAGTCATGGCTAACACTAGAGCTCATGCTGGCGGCTCGTCCTCTGCGCCCTGGTCTACTGGCGTCGGAGCAGCCCAGGAGGGGTTCTCTGTTTTCCAAGGCACTCTGATGTAGAGCCAGGGCAGAGGCAAGGCAAATGCTAGTCAGGACATTGGCATCCGGCTCTGCTGCCCTTCACCCTGTCATTGCCAGCTATGTCACCTCTTTCCCCAGCCACGGTTTCCTCCTCTGGCTATGAGATGCTTCCGGCCTGAAGGACAGGGTGGGGACCTGTGGGACTGCAGATGTGTAGTACCTTGAAAGCTCAAGCCCTGTACAAGGTGGCTTGGAGTCTCACAGGGCCAAGGCTGCCACCTGGCATAGGTCCTTTCCAGAACATTCTGCACTGGGCTCCTCTCTGCTTGTGGTGGATCTGACTTCAAGACCACACTACATGGTGTGTCGTGGGACCTAGAGCTGTAACTTGTCCATGTAGGCACAAGGCTAGGCAGGACAGGGATCTCCATGGTGGCCCACAGATCTCTCACCTGGAACTGACCAAGCTTCTAAAGTTAAAGCCTGACAATTTCGAACACCAAGGCTGTACTGCTACCATGTGGTAGCATGGGGGAACTGCAGTTGAGCTGGGGCTTTAGAATCTCTCTAAAAGTCTCCCTCTCAGAAAAAAAAGGTCTCGCTCTCTCCCTTGTTCCCTCACTCCTTATTATGTTAGGCCAGCATTGTTATTTTTTATTTTTTTGTTATTTTTTATTTTGAGACAAATTCTTGCTAATTTGCTCAGGCCAGCCTAGAATTTGTGATCCTCCTGCATCAGCCTCACAACTGGCTGGGATTACAAGCAAGCAGTGACTAGCTTTGGAGTCTGTTTTTCAGGGGCAGACTCAAGCTCCTAATGCAAGAGGTCTGAGAGAGGGTCCAAGAATCTACAAAACTGAAGAAAGATTCCTGGGGCTGCCTCTTAAGAAACAGACAGCATCTTCATTTAAATATACCTCCCTTGTGATTCTTATATTCCTTAATTTTTTTTTTTTTTTTGGTGTCAGGAATTGAACTCAGGACCTTTCGATTGCCAGGCTGGCACCGTGCTGCTGAACTATACCTCCAGCCCTTTCTGTGTGAGTCTTATGTAGGGCTGGTGACTTGATGCAAAAGGGCCAGGGCAAAATGAAAACATGGAGCCCCTTGTTCAGAAATTACAAAATTTCAAGACAGTGACATAAAAGCAGTACAAAAAGCCTGAGGCCCTGTGTGGCTACACTGGTCAACAGGCCCAGGAAGCTGGTCCTTTCCTTATACCCTCCGGATGTGGAGAATCCCATTGTAGTTACTTGATCTGTTAAATATGTCTGACACTTACTACTGAGAGTTCTGTGATTTTGGACATATTTATAAGCTTTATAAATCTCACTGGCTTCATCTTTAAACACTGGGATAATTTGTATCTGAAACAGTTCCTTTGTGAACATGAAATCTTTTCTGTTGTATACTAGAGGCTGCTGAAATGTAATTTTCAGGGTCCTGGGCTCGGCAGTGACAAGTATTTGGATGTGGAGATGAAAAAGATCTTGGCCTTTGTCTTTCAAGGCTGACACCGCTCCGGAGGAAAACAGCCTAAACCAGAGAGAACCAGCACATGAAACGTACCGCGCCCTCCAGGGGGCACTCAGGGCTACTACAAGGCATCTGGGTGTGCGAAAGCAGCCACGTAAGGTAGCGGTAGATCTGAGGGGAAAGGTTCAGGTGTGTGTGTGGAGAGGGTAGGTGATGGAGTTCAGACAGATGGAACATGTGCAAACCTTCAGACCTGAGATGGGCAGGGAACCTGGAGACCCGCCCGAGATTAAAGGCAGAAAGTGAGATGCAGCTGAAGAACCTGTAAAGGGGCCCTTCAGCAAGAATTTAAACTCTGCACCAAGAGCTGGAGGAAACCAAGAAAAGAATTTAGACCAAGGATGAGCATGACTGGGTTTGAGTTTGGGCAGTGAACTGTAAAAATGCATGGTGTTGTGGCACACCCCTGTATAATCCCAGCTACTTGAGAGGCTGAGGTAGGAGGATTGCAAATTAGAGGACAGCCTGGGCAGCTTGGCTACATTCTATCATTAAATAAAATAATAAAATACAATACAATAAAATAAAAAGGCTGGCTGAGGATGTAATTCAGTGGTAGAGCACTTGCTTAACATGCATGAAGCCCTGGGTTCAAGCTCCAGCACCACACACACACACACACACACTATCTATCAATATCTATCTATCTATCTATCTATCTATCTATCTATCTATCTAATCTATCTATCATCTATCTTTATCTACTATCTGTCTATCTGTCTTATCTTCATCGTCATCAAAATGTATCTATCTGTTGAGTATGGAGAACAAGGTACCAAAGGGAGGGTTGAAGCGGGGTGTCCCAGCAGGAGGATTTGCAGCTCTCCAGCGAGATGTGACCAAGGCCTGAACTAAGCCTGGGGGATGGAGAGAAGGGTCAGGTTGGAGGACTGTCAATAAAGTCTCTGACTCCTAGGATTTGCTGGCTTATTAATGTGGGGTTAAGTGAGGAGTCAGGGCTGATGCCTGGGGTCTGGCTTAGATAACAAAGATACAATGATAAGAGAGGCAAGGTACCTGAGCTTACAGGATGGGTACACATAGGGTTTAATTTTTTTAGGGGACTCTCGGTAGAGAAGACGCCCTTTTGTTTTTCCTCATCCCTGTTCTACTGTCCAGTTCATGATTGAGTCCCATCACTTTTATCTAGAAGCTATTGTTGACCTCTGTCCTTCTTTCCCCAGTGCAGAGGAAGATGGACTGGGATGGAGGAAAGAGGGAATCCAGTCGGCGGCCCTGGGGTGTGCTTCTTGGGCAGGACCGGAGCCTACAGAGCCTAGGCAATCTGGTGATGTCAGCGCACAGGATCTTTGCTTGGAAGGGCTCAGCAGTGCTGGCCAGGAGAGACCATGTTGGAAGGAGAGGCTTACGCAGGCCTGAGATGCTGTCAAGCAGGTGAGCCCCAGTAGAGGCTGAAGGTAGAGCTGTGGGAAGGCTGATGGGTTGAGAAATAAAATGGGAGGCCAAGGACTTTCATCTGTATTAGGTAAAATGCTGACTTTGGAGTGTCCTGCCCCATTTTTCTCAGCGCGGTAGTAGGATACAGGTGCAATGGGATTTTCAGATTGTTGGATGTGGAACCCACTACGGTCCCAAGGCTCAGAGTGTTCCATAAGTGGTTGGAGACAAAGGCCGAGAGAGCTGAGGAGGATAAACAAGGCCACTGGCCTGAGGCCAGCTACCACCCGCAGGGTTGGGAGAGGGTGGGGACCAGCAAATCCCAGGCGCCAGCCTACAAACACTCCAGGCAGATCCTATGATCCTCAAGGTGCCTCATTGTGCCCTGACTATGAGTTGTATGGCGGTGGGTGAGGAATGGAGTAGCCCAGAGACAGATTGCTAAATGGCTGTGGGCTCTGCATAGGAGGCTATGGATGAGGGTGATAAAGGTAGAAGGAGACCAGAATGAGGGAATGGTGGGGTGGGCTCAGGTTGTGAGGCCTGGAGGCTGACGAGCCCCACAGAGGAGTCTCTAGGAGAAGAATCCTTCTTCACACCGGCTCCAGGTTTGTGTGGGCTGTTTCAGGTGGAGCATCTCCAATGGAGACAGAAGAGTCAGTCCAGCAGCAGGTTGCAGTGAGCCTTTCATGCGTCCTTTTCCTGTGCCCTGACTCTGTCCCCTCCCCGCACATCCCACTGCAGCCCTCACACACTCTATCTTTACCTTCACTGTTAGGCACTGAAGGCAGGGGCCGGTGACTGGGCATCTGAAACGTGCGCGGGCCTCTTGGGCTGGACCAGTTACTCTGTTTTTTTTTTTTTCCTGGTACCAGGAATCGAACTCATGATGTTGTGCTTGCCAGGCAGGCGTTGTGCCACTGAGCTAAATCCCCAGGCCCCTGGACCAGTTACTCTGAACTGGAGAAAACCTGAAGAGTTTGAGTCACCCCAGAGGGATGTGTGTCTAGAGAACGGTGAACCCCCTTAGCAAGGCAGGGGCACCCCATGGCTTCACTTGCCACGTGACACAGAGCGGGATACCAGGGCTCCTGAGGGCTTCATTGCTCAGCTGGGCAGAGTGGAGATGCCACCATCTGCATCCGCTCGGCTGTGCTGATGGCCTGGGAGGCCTGTGGGTGCCAGCAGTGGGATGCTTTCAGGGTCTGCTCTAGGCTCTGTGAATGAAGATGGGCCATAAAAGAACCCAGAGAAAAGCCCGGGGAAGAAAGGGGAGCTACAGGGAGACAGGCAGAAAGAGGGTGTGGCGGAAGGCCGAGGGTTACTAGCTTTCCCTCCACTGGGCACATACAGCAATGGGGGCTGGGTCGGAGCTGGAAGTAGAATCCTGGCTGAAGGTTCTCAGGAATGAAGAACTTCCAGGGCACTGGAATAGGCAACTGGGGAACATTCTAAAAATGCCTTTCTTTTTTTTCTTGTCTTTTTGAGACAGGGTCTTGCTATGCAGTTCAGGCTGAACTTGAGCTCACTTTATAGCTCAGGCTGGCCTCGAACTTGCAACGATCCTCCTGCCTCAGCCTCCTGAGTGCTGGGATTACAGGCGTGCGCCACCGCGCCCAGTTTAAAAATGTCTTTCTTAACCCCCTTTCTAAGGGGAAGAGACTCATGTGTTGAGGGATGTCGTATTTAATAACGATCGCTGAGACAAAATGACAGTAATAATAGTAATGGTCATTACAGTGGTGGAACATGTATCCAGTGAGCTTTGAGTCTATTCACTCACTCCGCAGCCCTCTAAGGCTGTGCCCTCCGGGAGGGACGTACAGAGGGGTCAAGGTCTGAGAAGCAGCAGGTTTGCATGAATGGTGAAGGGGTGCTCTGGTTCTGGTGGACAGCTCTCTGTGAGGAGTGGCCACCGCCATTTGCTTCTGGAGGGAGAGAAACCCTGGGCTCTGACCTCATCTTGGTCCTTTCCCTTTCCCTTCCGGTTTGTGGCCTGAGGAGGGTCCCGGGTGGTTGCCTTGTCCCCTACGTACTTTCCCTGTGTCCCCGGAGGAAGCCCACGCAAGCTGACTGATGCATAACTTTATTAAATAAATGCTTTGTCATGACAAAAGACAAAGATCAAGGAGTAACATAAATTATAAGTTGAATAAATAGTATACAGCAATCTTCACTTTTTAATAAAACGTGAGATCCTCTGGGTTTTTTTTCTTTCTTTTTATTTCCTTAAGTACAAAATACTAAACAGGAGCCGAGCTCTTCCGCATTCAGGTGATTTTTTTCCCGCTTTTTTTTTTTTCTCACAAACTGCTTTGTTTGTTGGTTTATTTTTGCATCCTTTTCACCAGTAAAGATGAGCATTTATTTTTTAGTTGAAAACAAAAAAGAGGAGAGAACAGAGCTATGGTATGGCTGTATGTAACACTAATAAAGAGCTACAGTAATATGTGCGGTGGTTATTGCTGTCTTTAAAAAAAAAAAAACCAAAAACAACCAGTAGGCAACTCGGAATCTGAAGGAATCTTGTCTGACAACGGCACTATCCATGTGGGCTACTGTGTGACGGTGGCGGTGGTGGAGATGGCTGAGGCTGGTGACCAGGGACCAGAGAAGTAGGGTGAATGAGAGCAGGGTGGCTGGGGTCCCCTTCCCCTCGGTCCCTCCCACCTTCCCTTTCTCCATCTGGAAGGATTTAAGGAGAAGAGGCCAGAGTTTGTGAAGTGACTAAACTATATACTCCATTAGAAAACCGAGAAAGTATGTTTTAAAAAAGAAACTATAACCTAAAAGGAAAAAAAAAAAAAAAACAAGTGGAGAAACAGTGCAAAATAATTCTTGCACTTTAGTGGTTTTAAAAATAAAGACAGTACAACACCCAGGTGGTGCTTGGTGAAATCTGTTCCTTTTCTGTCTCAAAACAGCCTCCTTTCTCTTGGAAGCCAGGGGTTCCTCTCTGAGACGAAAGGGTCTCTTCTCTGGCCCACTCCCCTCTCCAGTCTGCATTTGGAACTGGAGCCCCCGAGGGTTCTGAGTTGATTGATGGAGAGGGAGTGCGGCCCTGCCCCGGGGGGCATGGCAGTTGCCGTGACAGCTCCTGTGTTGCTGATGACCTGGCGATGAGAGGAGGGTATTCCCGAAGGGTTACCATGGAGACAGAGGAGGTGATGAGAAGAGGGGGCGAGGGGAGAAGAGGGGTGACCACAGAGGGCCTCCCCAGCCTCCCTTCCTTGCCCATGTGGGCTGATGTCCCCAGGCCTGTCTGTTTAGGCCTGGCTGTCAGAGAAACATTTGAGTCTCTTCTTTTCCAGGTGCCCTGCTTTGCCTGGTGGGTCAGGGCAGGCTGGGGGAGGAGGATCAGTCCTGGCTGGGCCTCCCGCAGTTACCTGGCAGTAGTGGGGGAAGACAGAGGTATCTTTTCTACTGCAGAGTGAGGCATGAGTCAAAGGGGGTGGGGGAGAGCTCCCGAGGGGGTAGGGGTGGGGGGCAGGTACAACCATAGATGCCCCCGAGTCTGAGGCCTCTAGGGGAGCTGAAAGTTGGCCAAAGGCCCAACCGGAGCCAACACGCTCCCTGCTCACAACTTTACATGCTCACACCATTGCAAGCCCACTTTCTCTCCCTGCTGCCAAGGGGATGGTGGCTTCTCTTCTTTCCACGACTCCCCTCCCATTGTTGTCACTCCGCCCTGGGCTCAGTCAGGACCTCTCACTTGGGTGGTTTAGGCCCATCTGTCCACAGAGGTCCAGCTTTCTCAAGGAGAGGCCAGCTGCCCGCACCCACCTTCTGCAAGCATGGAGAGATGCACAGCTTTGGGTTAGTAGCCATGAACTGGGGGAGCCTGGGGAGCCTGGCAGCAGGTTAAGCCAGGCCACCATCTTCTACCTGTGGCTGACCCCAAAGGGCCCTGTGTAAGGGCTGAGGCCAGGTCAAGGTCCAGCAAACAGTCGGGGAAAGAGAGAGCTCTTCTCAGGGGTCAGGTCCCTGCCTGGAGGGGTGAGGGGTGGGCAGTTCCTGGCTCAGTCTTTTCTTAGGGGGATGGCACCCCAGTATCCTCTTGGAAGCTCCCAGTTAGGTGACTGCTCAAGATGCAAAAGAAGAATGGCAGAAGGAAGGTTTAGGATACTGGCCTAAGACACAGAGAAGTGCGAGTTGGGGGCTTGGGGACAGCTGTGCAGAGAGCTGGAGCACACTGGCCTGCTGGTCCAGTGAGCCCTTCTTGCTTCATCGTCATTGGGCCCTTTGTCTCAAGAAAATCAACCACCTCTCCCATCCCCAGTCAACTGTCCTGTCTGAGGGAGCAGGCGACATGCCCAAGTGTTGTAGCAATGCGTTTCCATTCCTTGAAGTATACTTGCTACTTTGCTGTCCCTCTTCATTGCCCCAAGTTTGGTGCTGGAGTTGGTCTCCACTTTGTCATGCCATCAAGAAAGAGTGGAAAGAGGTACGTCCACAGCAAGAAAGGGTCTCCTTTCCCAGTGTCCAAGTCCCCTTTCCCAGCAGGCTATCTTCAGTCTTAGAGGGCAGTCCCAAGGTCATCCTTGGGTTGAGGAAGTCAGCAGAGAGTGGGATTTTTTTTTTGGATCAGACCCTTGCCGCCAAATGGCAGCACTTTTGAGGCACCTGTCCCAGGTTTTCCTGGGCGTTCCTCCCTCCTCCAGCCCAGGGAGGAGGCATAAACTGGCTAGAATGGACAAAGAACTTGAAAGACCCTTTTACTTCAGTCCCTCATGGTGGGCTAAAGTTGAGCACAGGGTCTCGTCCCTTGAATGCATAACCAGTCTACTGATTCTTGTTCTCACCCAGTTCTCAAGTATAGAGCCCTTCCAAAATTATTCACCTTCCCTGGCTCTGTGGCCTGGGTTGAGCTTCTGTCTATCTCACAACCTATTCCTCCATTTCCCCCTCTCCTTCCTCTTAAATCCCAGAGGGCTTATAGCAGACGGAAGCTAGGGAAAGTTCGACTGGCTTTCCCTTCTCTCTGTTGCTTTTCTGTTCCTCTGGTCCTCTGCCCTGCTGCTCCACTGATTGTTTTCCTCTTTTAAAACCATTTCCCCACCATCTCCCTCTTTGCAGTCTCTCACATCAGCCTCTCTCTTGCTCTGCAAAATGCAGGGCTGTCTAAATGAAAGCCAACAGGCTGGGGCAGGACCAGTGGGTCCAACTTGGACCTCCTGGGCTCAGTTGGTGTGGTCCCCAGCGGCCGTTATGTTCTGAGGGTTTGAGGACTGGAATGGGGTGAGCTGGGCAGAGCAGTGCACACACCACCGAGTTCTGGCAGCTACCCAGCTTGGTGGACATGTGTGAATACACACAGGAAATTATTAGAAACTCAATGTTGGGCCCACAAGGGCTGAGTACTCAGCTCATGGGAAAACCCAGAAGAGAGGCAGGCAAAGCTTGTTTGTTGAGTTATAGTAGAGAACATGGGTTTTCCCAGAATGAGGAAGCTCCTCAGTGTCCCGATAGGAACTACTTTGAAGAGAAAGAAAGCAAGCAAGAAAGAAAGAAGACAGAAAGGAACTAGAGTTCTATAGGGAGGCTTGTAGATGGACACAAGCCCACTTTTTTTGTTGGTTTTGTTTTTTAGCCTGTCCTCCTCTACAGAGGCTGCTGAGCCAGTTGGGAGCCGGATGACATGAGGGGCTGAAGTGTTGCCTCAGTAATTCTTCAGGCCACCGGAAGAACAAACCTTTCTAGTATAGGGCTGTGTCCATGTCCAAAATATGCAAGAGGAGTGCAATATGCATATATGTTTAATATTTATGGATCTTGTTAGAAAAACCTACCTAATTTTACTCAATTATGAATTTGGCTTATTTTCAGAGGAATGGAATGCATTTTAGTCTTTATAAATTTGGGTGAGAAATGACACCCCACTGGTGCAAGAGGAGAGGAGGGGTGGGGGTCGAGTTGTCCACACTGTGGCTGGAGGAAGACTGACCTGAGAGAGGCACTGACACATTTTATCTTTTCCTTTCTTCCCCTGACCGAGCCAAACTAAGAAAACTCAAGGGTGTCACTGAAAGCCACATCTCAGGCCCAGTGCCCCAACCTCTCCCCAGCCTAGGCCAGGGCTGGACTCCAACAGCAGACCCAGGCCTGGTCCCCGCCCTTGCCTTCCTGCCCACACTCCTCTTTTCCATCTTGTAACCCTGTCCATCGTTTCCTCTCTTCCACACGCTTTCTTCCCTTCTCTCCCTTCTGCTCTTCTTTTCTCTTCTCTGTTCAATCAACTTGCCTCAAAAAGAAAACCATTTTCAAGGGGAGGAGGGGTGTCTCCTTATCTGTTTGCACCTCTGTTGTTGTCATTTTCAAAGTTGAGCCCTTGCTAGAGATTCCGAGGTCCTCAGTTTCCTCAAATATATGTCATATATATTTTCCCTTAAATGAGATGAAATGAGTGGCGTCCTGGGGTGGAGGGAGGCGATGGCTGGAATTGGGGCTGGGAGTGGGAGGGGGAGGGTCGGGGGAGGGGGACGCATCACTCAGTGTTGCTGCTGTCGAAGGCGTGGCACTGAAAGTCCCCGTCGACATACTCCATGCCTGGCAGCTTCATTCCATACTTGTCCACGCACCAGCAGATGCCACGTTTGCGGCCACGGGAAGGCTTGCACTGAAGTGTCAGGAGCAACAGACAGTGAGGATGCTGGCCCTGGCCCTGTCTGCCCCGCCTCCTCTCTACCCCAAGACAAGCTCTCATCCCCAGGGAGTTGAGGGGAATACACCCAACCCCTGCAGACCTGGTGTCTCCAGACAAAAACTCTACTTTAAGCAGCCTGCCCTCAGCTACTTCTTTTTAGGTTTCTCTTTTTTTTTTTTTTTTTGGTTTTTCTCCAGTACCGGGAACCGAACTCACGACCTTGCGCTTGCCAGGCAGGCGCTTTTGCCACTGAGCTAAATCCCCAGCCCACTACTTCTTTTTTATGTTGCCTATTTTGTGTCCTCCGACTTGGGATTCTCCAGGGATGTTCAAGGCTGATCTCTTAAATGTGCTAAAGGTGACTGTCAAAATAGGAGGCACCATAGCAGCTTTATTACTTGCCAGGCATGGCTTAACCCTTCCCACAGGGCAGGAGCTGTTCTAAATGCTCCATGATGGACTCGCCTACTCCTTACGATCCAGTGCGGTGGGGACTGCTAGTGTCCCCTTCCTATGAGGAACGAGAGACACAGAGACTTTCAACAATGGAGTCCAGAGGACACGGCCAGCCAGTGGCACAACCAAGATGGACCACGGCTCTTCACTGCTGACTTAGGTAGTGGTTCCCTTTAGGTAGCAGCAGGGCCTTCTGGGAACTTGTGAGAAATGGAAAGCCTTCAGAGTACACCCGCAGCCAGTGCCCAGCATCAGCACTTTAAGGAGTCCTAGGGGCTGTTCTGTGACCATGGAAGCTTGGCAACCACTGACAAAAGCCTAAGCACTACTGGTTATCTGAAAGTGGGTGGCACAAGTGTAGCCTGGCTGTGAAGGGACGTGAAATGATTTCAACTGGTACACAGAGGGAAAAGTTTTAGAGTCCTCCATGCATGTGTGCATGTGTGCATCTGTGTATGTGTGTGTAGAAGAAAGGAATTTAAGGAACACACAACATGTGATCTTAGGGAATGTTACAGTTTTCTCCTTCAAGGAATTCATGTAGGTAAGGTGGATCTATGAAAAGCCAAAATTTATAGCAAGAGGGAACAAGGATAATCATTATTTCAGTATATGAATGGATACTGGAGATTGAGGAAACACTAAATCATTGATGACAGAAATCTCAGCCATCAATTGTGTGAGACCGTGATTTCCTGGAAGATGCTAGGATCTGTCTGAGCCTGGGAAGCCACACAGGGGAACGTACCTGCTTTCTCTTGTAGAATCCTTTGCGGTCACAGTTGGGCAGGTACACGGCACGGGGCACCATGCGCGGGCTCGCTTTGATCTCCTGCAGGGAAGCTTCCATGTGTCTGCGGCAGGGGCCCTGTGTAGACAGGAGGCATGAGAGGCACTGCAGAACCTAAGGGGGGAGCCATCCTGATGTACAGATGTAGGTGCGAGGTATGGGGTCCAAAGTTACCATCTTTAGTTCTAATCAGCTGCTTTCAAAGACCTTTTGTCCCTCCTTCGTCCCTGGGGAGTATTAAAAGTCTACAGTTGGCCAGGCGCAGAGTCTTATTTTCCCTGTTGCCTTATAGGCCTCCCTCCTGCAGCTTTTCAATCCTGCTGAGCAATTCTACTTGGAAACTGCTGTCTCTGGATGTTCTAGGAGAATGTTTATCCTCCACCTAGGGCTGGATACAGCTCCAGGGGTCACTACCTGGCAGACAGTCACTGCGCTGGCAGGTGCTTTCCCTGAGTGGCTCCTACTTCTATTCTCACTCACCTGGAGGAGCTCTCCTGATAAACGCAAGCTACAGAAATTATCCTCCCAAATCCTGAACTGCGCTACCACAGTAAGCAATTGGTCCTTGTGGGTCTGGCCTATGTTTCTCCTGTTGCCACAGGCACTCGTGTAGGTGTAGAGAAAGGTCAAATGGTGGCACGGTGGCAGAGGGACAGAGGGGCAGACAATCCCCAAGACTCACCTGCTCGGATTCCTGTCTCATCTCAGATGCAGAAGTGACCCGAGGGTGGGCAGTATTCTCAGCTCCCCCGACAAACTTGGACTGGGTCAGCTTCTTCCTTCGGTCCTTCTTCACGGCCTCAGCCTTCATCTCAGAGATGCGGGTGTGCTTGGGTCGGAAGATCTTGGGGGAGTAGGTCTCTTCAGTCACCTCGGAGGTAGTCGGCTCCTCATGCTCACTGGAGTCTCTCTCTGCAGGGAGAAGGGGTCAGGGGGTCAGTCTCAGAGGTCTGGGGTGTGGAGAGTAATAAAGGCTGGGATAGATGGGGTCTCTGCCTTCCTGGAGCTCAGCAGACTGGGGGACTCAGGGAGAGAAGGGGCAAGGCTCATTTAAGTGGTGGGGACTTTCTGCCCGAGGCTACCTGTGGGGCTCATCTGGAAGACTTCACAGAGAAGGGGAATCTTGACAAAGTCTTGTTGTCACATGCAGTGTACATGGGGCAGTGTTGGGAGGGCAGTTTGAGATGTGAGGATCTGGAGATCCAGGCAGATAGAGGAAAACAAGATGGCCTAGGCATGAGCAAGCATGACCAAGTCTGTCCCCTTGGTGAGATCTTCATGCTTTTAGAACTGTAGGGCATCGAGAGGCAGCAGACAGCACCCTTAGGAGGAGATGGGGACCTGGGAGAAAGAAGAGTGTGATGTGTGGGGCCCAGAGGGGAAAGTGTAGGGCCAGAGGGCACCCAAAGGTCTCGCTCCCTGCTTCAACTCAGAGCTGGCTTTATGCTCTGGGCCCTGGGAGGCTGGGACATTACCCAGCTCCAGCCTGAGAGAGGCCGACAGCTGGCTGTGGTGGCAGCAGTTATATATAGGAGAGACTTGGTGACAGTCTATACTTAGCTGACTTACGACCTTTAGAGAAATAGGACTTTGTTCATGTATTTGTTGGCCAGTTAATTCCACTTGCCTGGCCACTCTCAGCCCACAGATTTTCAGTAAATTCTCTTCTCATAGGCTTTCTCTTCTCATCTCCCCGACCCCTAGCTTCAGTGGTAGACCCAGTGTGGGAGACCTTACATTGTCGTTCCCAGGTGAGCAGGATGTAGGTGGAATGCCCCTGCTAAGGCCAGGGGTAGGTGAGGGCGAGAGGCCTTGACATCATTGCCCTCTTTTTAAATATTCAGAAAAAGAGACAAATTGGAGTGACCCCAAATAACTAAAATGGGGTGAAGCAAAATCTCTTTCCACTATCCCTGGGACACTCAGGAATGCTGATAGCCAGGCACCTGGGATGGGAAATTGAAGACGGAAAAAGAATTCAAGAGTTGAGAGGAGGGGATTTTGCAAATAAAGAGGAGCTTTTGGGGAAGAGGCAATTGTATGTCGCGTGGGCAGGCAAAGCTGAACTCCTAAGCTCTCCAACCAGAGGAAGTTTAGGTGGAACTCAGGGGAGGCGTTTGGAGATCTGGCTTAATCCAGTCAGGATGGCAGGTGGCAGGAAGCTCCCAAGCACTTGTTCCTCTCTGACTTGTCAAGGTTAATGAACTAGGTACTGGTCTGTAATACAGTGCTGGCAGGAAAGGGCCCACCTTGAAGAAACCTCCATGGGTCTTCAGTGATCCTGGTGGTTAGTTGATCTGCCTATTTATTCACAGGGGAGGAAGGGAAGTAATTACCGGGGAGGAAGAAAATGGGGAGAAAGCACATAGCAATGCTGTGGACAGACTCCAGAACAAAGCTCAGCACTAGGGCCCAGGTCCCCCATTTGGCTTTGCACAACTCTTTTCCCAGTGCCCTGACTCCGTGTTATTACAGTCCACTGTGATGACCAGTCCCCAGGCTGATATGTCTGGAGGTGGAATGCAGGTTCTAGATATTAAGAGTGATGTCTTGCAGTAAATCAAATTTCTTTGCTTACGGGGCAGGTTAGATGGGGGTAGAGATGCAGGGAGGAGTCCAGGGTTTGGAGCACTCTGTGGAAAGGGCCATCATCATCTAGGAACAGGCCCCAACCTGGGACTTGGCCCAGGAGCGAGAATGGAGGGAGAGCTAAGCATGATATAGGAGGGTGGCTGGGCCATCTCACTGAGCGACTCTGAGGCACTTTGCTCAGACTCTTTGGGCACCATCAGGCATTCTGGCCTCAAAAAGTAGTGGAAAACTGCAGGACTGTGGAGAAGGTAGGAGACGGCTGCCACGGAAAGTGTGAGGGCATCCTGGGGGTGCATGGCCAAGTCTCTTCCCCAGTCAAGACTATAAGTGGACAAAGTGAATGTGTGTGTAGTGGTGGGCTGGCTGCCCACCAGCGTGTGAGCTTCAGTGGTCTGCTCTTGTCCACCTTGGAAATCCAGCAAGTGGTCTTCAGGAGCTTCATACAGCGGGGCTACTGGGAATCTTCTCTTTAAGGAGAGAGCCCTGGAAGCGGGTCCCTCCTGTAGCTGACTGAACCACCTCCACAAGTCTTTTGAGGGCCATTTAGTCCATTCCACAGTGGCCAAGCAGAAGCAAGTCCACAGTGCATCTCAATGGTGTGCTCTTGGGTTCTTAAAGATGAGGGTACTCCTATCCTGTCTATTTTTGTAGGGAGGGAGAACTCTGACCCTTTGGGTAGAAGAGGTCATTTTCCAGCTTAATTTTCTTTGTCCTTGGTGGACATGGACTCATGGCACTCACAGCCTTCACTAAATCAAGACTGCCCTCTTCAGACTTTATCTAAAGAGTCTTGGGCCATCTTTAACCTTGAATCACCTTCCTGGGAGGGGTTACTTTGAATGTTTTTAGAGTTTTCTTTGAAACTCTCTAAGTTTTGCACTGGGGCTAAGCAATGATGATACCAGAAAACAAAATGTAGAATCTGGTATTTTTTTTTTTTTTTTTTTTTTGTTTTTTTCCGGTACCGGGAACCGAACTCACGACCTTGCGCTTGCCAGGCAGGCACTTTTGCCGCTGAGCTAAATCCCCAGCCCCCGGTATTTTTTTTTTTAAAGGGATTTAAAACACTTGCCAATCCATGGCCTCACCAAGGTGGGGGATCCTGGGAACATGTATTCCCTGACTCCCAGAGTTTGGAGGCTCTTTGGTTGCTCCTGAAGGGCAAGCTGAAAGTTTTGATGTACCTCTCAGCTTTTGGTTCCACTTTACCCCATGGTACCTATTAGGTAGCGGGCGAGTCAAGTATCAAAGATACTAATCAGGGTCTTATGGGCATCTGTAGGCTCCAGAGAGACAGTAGAAACTGGGGCGGGGGTAATGCAGAACTATGAAGATTAAAGGACTGGAAAGCTAGGGTACAGCTGGGGAGTCACAGCCAGCTAGCCTTACTCAGCTGCTTTGTGGACAATTCATATACAGGCTTTCAATTTTAGAAGGGCTTAAATTTTAAGTAAAATAAAACGGCACACACAAAAATAAAAGGCACAAATAGTCCAGTGCTCCTGAGGTATCTCATCAAGAGTAAATGAACTGAGGTTTGGGAAAGGAGTTAGGTAGGCTACAAAGGAGGACTTTTTGATGAGGAGGATTGCTCTGCACCTGACCAGCGGCAGAGCAATGTGATAGTGAGCTGTGGAACCTGTTTCACAAGCAGGTCAATACTCCTGACGTCCAGTAGATGGCGTGGGAGACTGAAGACCACACAACTAGGGTCATTCCTAGGGACTGTTAGCAAGTTTAAAGACTGGAATTTGAGTGTTTCCTTCTACTTCTCCGATAATCAGTCCAATCTTTCCCTTAATATGTGTATCTCCAGCCTGCACTTAAAGTGTAAGGAAGATGAACAAAGAGGATTGTGTGGGGAGAGTGGAGAGGGCAGGTGAGGGAGGCGGAGGAAACGGGGCCAAAGCTCATTGGTATATAATGTCCTGGAAAGTGATTTAGGAAGAAAGAGAAACACGTTCCAGATACCTCTCTGTCTCCAGATGAGAGGGTACCGCAGAAGATGGGAAATGTGGGATAGTCAGTATCTTTTTCTCCTCCTGGAAGTTGTGCAGGTTCCCTTTTTTTTCTTTTTTTTTGGTACCAGGAGTCGAACTCAGGACCTTCCACTTGCCAGCCAGGTGCTTATGCCACTGAGCTATATCCCCAGTCCTGCAGGTTCCCTTTGATTCCGGGATCTTATTCAATGACTAAGGAAGGGAAGCAGCGATCATATTATACAGGTATTATGATAGCAATGGGTTCTGAGTCTTCTATGGGTTTTAGTCACAGCCCTTCCAACCAGCTAGCCAATGCCCCCATCCTCTGGAACATCAGGGTGGCCAGCTCACTTCCCCTCACAGTGGACTGTAGCACCCACAGAGGCACATACGGGCACATTGCCCTCTCCCTGTGACAACACGGGCACCAGAGGACTGTGTCACTTTCCGTGCTCTAGCGAGCTCAAGGCACAGGTGCAGCTTCTGTGGACCCAGAGGGTCCCAGGGTGGTTGGTGCTGCACACAGCACAACTGCCCAGCGCACACAGCCTACCCCAGCTCACTCAGCTTCTCCAAACATGGGTCAGATGCTTTACCAGCAGCTGCAGGCATTCCAAACTACCTTGCTTCGATTCCCATAGAATGCATGGGGTCCAGGTGGGGAGCAGCTGTGCTCTGAAACCAAACCTTCCACTCCGGGGCTCTTGGTCCTGCCCTGGAACCATTAAAAACCTGGTCCTGGGCTGGTGTTTGTTTCCCGCTTTGCCTTGACCTCATAATCAAACATAAAAGAAAACTACATGGTCCAGATATTGTGACTTGATTTACGGTGGCTGAAGGAACTGAGGCTTACTTAGAATCTACAGCCCAGGAAGAGTGAGGGCTCTGCCAGGCCACCTCTGCTGGGAGATTCTCCAGTGTCTTTTTCTAGCTAGAGGACAGGATGGGGTTCCCAGAGTCTCCCTATAAGGAATGAAAAGGGGAGCTGGGTTTCCTCTGGCTCTCATCCTAACGCCTTCTCTGGAATTTAAACAGCCAGGTTCTTAAGCGCAGAGCTTTGGTATTTATCTTTGTCTCCCTGGTGGTTGTATTCAATCAATAACCTTTAAATGCATGAGTGACTCTGGCCATGATTCATGGGCAGAGGCATGAATCTGCCCAGGCAGCAAGGAGAAATGGGTCCAGAAGCATTTCTGTAATACAGTATATGTCAGGGCAAGTTAGAGCTCAGGTGGTGCCTGCAGAGGTCATCTCATTCCTGCCTTTGCCTTGAAGCATGATTACTCTGTTGCAGAAAGGCAGAGGGAAGCAGTAAAACAAGAAGAGTGAAAGTGGGAA